GAAAGTGAAAAATTGAAAAAACCTGATTATCCAGTGAGCACTTTCCTATTCCAAAAGGTTGATCTACCAAAATCAACATTTTGAGCAGACAGGAATTATCTTTTATTTATTTTTTCCTTTCAAAATACAACACTTCTTAAGTTATACTATGAACAGCAGCACTATTTAGGGTAATATATATATATATATATATATATATATATATATATATATATATATATATATATGGTTCGCATGTATGTACTAATAGCCAAAGGCAGGATGCTTTGCTTTGTTGTTTTTTATGCTAGTCAAGCAGAATAATGACAGTTTCCATATTAACAAAATAACAACAACCTCCCATAACCACTGCAGTTTCCCACCCCACCCCCTTTCTGTGAGAATGCCATGACATTGTCTAGTACGTGGGTAGGCAAACAAAGGCCCGGGGGTCGGATCTGGCCCAGTTACCTTCTGGATCTGGCCCGCGGATGGTCCGGGAATCGCCGTGTGGATCGGCATGGATCTGATCATTTGGGCTGCGCCAGTGCGTGCATTTGGTGCCGCCTCCTCCCTCCCTCCTCCTGGCTTCTCCCTGCCCTGCCTAGAGCTGAGAGGAAGGGGGTTGGCTTTGTTGGTGCCAGCAGCAGCAGTATAAGCGCTCGAGCAGCCGCCATTGTAAGCAGGCTCAGTTCGGGCTTTGTTGCTGCCAACCCCACTCTGGAGCCCTTTCATACGCCGCTCACCATCCCACCGCTGCCAGCCCCTGCCGCTCGCAAGATACAGGTAAGCAGTCACCGGGGCTCATCCAAGGCTGTGGAGAAGGGAGGGGAGAGTCAGGGGTGTCTTACCTGAGTAGAATGTGTCCTTTTATTTAAAATGCATCTTACCTGAGTAGAATGTGTCCTTTTATTTAAAATGCATCTCTGGGTTACGTATTTATGGGGCCTGCCTGGTGCTCTTGCATAGAATGCTGTGTCCTTTTATTTAATATGCATCTCTGGGTTATTTGTGGGAATTTATTCTTTTTTTCCTCTCTCTTCAAAATATAGTCTGGCCCCCCACAAGGTCTGAGGGACAGTGGACCGACCCCCTGCTGAAAATGTTTGCCAACCCCTGGTCTAGCATTAGTTGAAGAGGCTTTTTTCCCCCTATTCCCCTCTTACTCTTGGGAGTGGCAAGAAAACCAGCTCATGTCTAAAGTTTGGTAGGACTTCAATATCAACTCTGTCTTCACTCAATGAGCTAGACTGAACTTTTACTAGATCACTAAACATTAGGAAGAACTTACTGACAGTAAGAGCTGTTCGACAGTGGAATTTGCTGCCAAGGAGTGTGGTGGAGTCTCCTTCTTTGGAGGTCTTTAAGCAGAGGCTTGACAACCATATGTCAGGAGTGCTCTGATGGTGTTTCCTGCTTGGCAGGGGGTTGGACTCGATGGCCCTTGTGGTCTCTTCCAACTCTATGATTCTATGACCCTATGATTCTATGATACTACATTGGCCAACTCACATCTTTCCTCTTTACAGAAGTTACACTACTACAATAGGGTGGGGTGAACCATAGGGAGATGGCTTTCAGATTGTGCCACCGCTGTAAGGAAGAAGGTTAACTGTTGTACATGCTTTGGGAAACTACAAGCATTATATGCTATCATTAATTTAAGGGAAAGCATTTTACACAGCTCTACTGAAGCCAGCATTGCTTTGCCAGTGCACCACAGCTGCTTAAAAAAAAAATTGTGGAGAGATACAGCAGTGAGCCAAAGTGAGAGAATAATGAATCTTGATCTGAAAACCTCTTCTACAGCAGTGTAGTGCTTCAGTCCTGAGTCACAATTTAATGCTTATTGTCAGTCATGTCAAATTTAAAGGAGTTGGAGGAGGAGGAACAGCGGGGGAATAACTGAAACTACCATGCCTAACTCTTTGGATTTTATTGTCACTTGCAATCCAGAATGGAATTTCAACTCAAGGATGCTTCCATAGGTGAAAGGCTAATGCAATAGTGTGATTCATTGTCAGCCATTGTTCACATTTATGCACATGCATTATGCATGCACTCTTTTATATAAGTAGATGTTGCAGCCTAATAAATTATGCACTTTTGCAACCTTGTGTTTTACATTGTAATGTCATGTTCAATGTGTGTATACTGCAAAGCATCGTTATGGAATGTGACACACCCAATATAAAATCCAAGGCTACAGATATTCATATACACACACATGTATATATTTATTTCATTTTATACATTAACGCCAGAATTCATAACATTTCCTCACCACAACAGTTTGTGTTGGTTTCTTCTTCTTCTTTTCTTTGCAAATGCATATGTGTACAGGGCCTAGAGAATAATTCTCACCGCTTGTTTATATTTGTGGGAATTCTATGGAGAACAGAGTGTGTTTACCTTGTGGCAGCTGCAAATGCTGACATGCACCAGGAGAAAAAGTTTTAAATGACAGATTCTTATTTATGGGAGAATTGAAACTGACTGGGAGGCAATTGCTTTAGTAAATCTCCTGACAGGATTGCTTTAAAAATTGACTTAATTCTGTGTCCTGGATGTGTTCTGCATCTCCTGACACACACACACACACACACACACACACCTTCTTCCATGTTTTGTGTGACAATTTTGGATTCTCCCCCCTAAATAAGTGCAGCAGTTGCCCTGTCCCTACCTACAAGAGCCTGAGAAGTGATTGGGGATAAAGAAACTCTTTAAAGTCTGGTCTGTCCCAGTTCTGCATGGGGATGTAGCTAAATCCATCCCTGTGAGGATTTTTAACAGAAAATCCTTAATATTTTTTCAGGGGAATGAGAAAAAGTGTTTATTTTTTTAAAAAACAGGTACTTAAGATACAGTCCAAGGTCTGCAGCACAGGTCCCCTTCCTGTATTTTGTTTTGGTCTTTTAAACTTTTAGCATTTGTAATCCAGCAACCCACAGCATACAGTGGCAGGCATGTGGGGCTTCTTGTCTCTCAATACTCTGACTGCAAATACAGCAACCACCCTTGAGAGTACAGGAGGAGCGCCAACTAGGGGCAGAAGGGGCCTTGGTCTCTTCAATATTTCTGGGCAGGGGGCTGAGTCCCCACCTGTTAGAGACTATGACGAGGAGGGCTGCACTGAGGAAGAATGGTGGGAGCCACCCCCTCCTCCTGATCCTGAATCTTCCAAGGAGCAGGAAGACAGTATAGATTTGGAACAGTGGTTTGCAGAGGGGCACAGTTCAGAAGGCAGAAGCTGGGAAATTCTGGAAGAGGAAGAGCAAACTAGAAGAGAAAGAGTTAACAGATTCACAGTCCCTGGGTAGTACCCACACACACCCTTCTCCCAAAGTCCAAGAGAGCTCAGAAAGTGGCAAGTGGCAGAACAGAAAACACAGCGGCTCCAAACTCAGATTACAAGATGTAGGAGCAACGTAGATTAATAGGGACGGAGGGGGGGAGTGAACTTAATGGGGATCACTGCCATTTCTAGGAGAGGTGTTCTTTGAGGGAGCCAGTGTGGTGTAGTGGTTAAGAGCGGTAGACTCGTAATCTGGTGAACCAGGTTCGTGTCCCCACTCCTCCACCTGCAGCTGCTGGGTTACTTTGGGCTAGTCACACTTCTCTGAAGTCTCTCAGCCTCACTCACCTCACAGAATGTTTGTTGTGGGGGAGGAAGGGAAATGAGATTGTTAGCCTCTTTGAGACTCCTTAGGGTAGTGATAAAGCAGGATATCAAATCCAAACTCTTCTTCTTGTTGTTGTTCTTTCACTGTGAAAGTTTCTAACTGGTAAAAAGACTCATTTTCCTTTGTTCTGCTTATCTACTGCCACAGGAGAAGTAAGCTGATTCCCTGAAGCCTCACACTGCCCCAATATTGAAGCCCTCCATCCCTGGGTAAGCACTGGCATGCCAGGTGGGGGCAGGATACACAGAGGGTGACTGTCACTGTCCATGCTTTCTGCCACTGATGTATGAGCACTGGCACGCAGGGCAAGGCAATGTGGATCATGTGATGCCAAAGCCCCTCAATGTGTGTGGGGGCAAGTCTGCGTCCCTGTAGTGCAGCCCATCGGAGGCATGGCTCATTTGCATGTCACCATCCATCTCCCTCACACATTATTCCTGTGCATGAGAGGATTCAAGCGATACATGTGTGGGATAACCAGCCTCGTATAGCCAATATCTCTCTGTTCTACACAATGCAGAAATGTAGCAGAATGACCCAACCCAGCAGAGGCTGACGGGAAAGAAGAAAAGCTAGAAAAATGAACCACATGGAGACACGGAAGGCAACTTTTTCTGGGAGTGGGCACAACACCTTTTCGTTATTTAAATCATCCTGAACGCTAATAGCGAACTCATTCTCAGAATGCAAAACCTTATGAAGCCACAACGGTGCTGTTCCCGTGCCAGAGGGTCATATCAGAAGGCATGGTGGAACCCCAAAGTTTGTAGAAGTACAAACAATTTTCAAAAATAAAAACCTTAAAGGGAAGACTCCCCCCACAAAAAAAGGAGAGCCAACTGAAGAGCGCATGTCAGCTGGGAGGAAGAAATGTTAAAGTGAGGGAGGAATGGAGTGCAGTATCCCAGAAGTTGGCATGGCTGGATAGAGCATTGAACAGGAGCACTCCACAGTGCAACATGACCCATTTGTAATTTATAATGGCGCACTAGTAGAAGTTGGTTTGCAAATTACTGCTCAGTCCATAAGTCACTGGCTCCAGTCACTGACATCAATCCCAATCAGCAGAAGAATGCAATCTTAAAGATGCAATTAGCCGTCATTTAACATTAAATACACGGCATGTGATCCTATTACAACATTGTATACAAAACAAATTGGAAACAAAGCTTTGGCTCATATAACTTTGGCTCATATTAATCTTGCATTGTTCTTCTCACTTAAACAAAGACAGCTTTTCACTGTAAATGGGATTTCTAATATATGGATACCATCTACCATGTCACACTAATTTTGAATTCAGATGTAGTCTATATGACAGAACAGCAATTTAGAGCGTTAGCTAATTTTAATTAAAATGAAAACCTTTCATTGATTAAAGGATAAATTATTCTTTAAACCGAAGCATAAATGAAGGTTGGGTTGGTACACTCATTAATGGTCACAATTATTATATTTGTTACTGTATGAATAGTATCACTTGAAAATTCAGATTTGTGTTCTCTATTTCTGTCTGCAATGTAATACAGATTATGCCTCATTTTCTCCCTTTGTGGCTGATTATTTTTCCAATGGTGCTGGTGTTTGGCGGGGGAGGGCTATCCTCTACCTGAAAAATAAAAAGTTTTAATTGTCCTTTATTACTGGTAATAAATCTGATCAGATTGGAGATGCATTGCTTTCCATGCAGGAAAGCCTCACATAACTAACTGATAAGGGCTAAGAATGTAGTTTAACAGTATAATGCAGGCTTCCTCAACCTCGGCCTTCAAGATGTTTTTGGCCTACAACTCCCATGAACCCTAGCTAGCAGGACCAGTGGTCAGGGATGATGGGAATTGTAGTCTCAAAACATCTGGAGTGCCAAGGTTGAGGAAGCCTGGCATAATGCTATGCTTCCTCAGAAGTAAGTCCCAAGTAAGTGTGTGCAGCACGCGTGACCAATGGGGTGCTCACCAGATACTGTAGGACTACATCTCACATCATCCCTGACAAATGACTATGCTGGCTGGGGCTAATGGGAGTTGTAGTCCAACAATACCTGGCTGCTCCTGGTGTATATAGGATTTCAGCCTAAGAATATGAGCTAGGAATTTCACACTAAACACAGATTCAGTTCTTTAACACTGGTCTTACAGCCTCAGCACCACTACCCCATCTGAGGTCCAGCTCTGAGGGCTTTCTGGTGGTTCGTTCACTGCAAGATGTGAAGCTACAGGAAACCAGACCTTCTTGGTAGTGGCACCCACCGTGTGGAATGTCATCCCATTGGATATCAAACATATAAACAACTACAGTGGAACCTTGGTTCTCAAATGGCTTTGTTGATGAACAAATTGGCTCCTGAATGTTGAAAACCCAGAAGTAAGTGTTCCGGTTTTCAAACATTTTTCGGAAGCCGAACATCTGATGTGGCTGTCAGCTATTGTTTCTGGAGCACCTGTGCCAATCAGAAGCTGCCCCTTGGTTTTAGGATATTTTGGAAGTCAAATGGACTTCTGGAACAGATTACGTTTGAGAACCAAGGTACCACTGCATTTGACTTTTAGAATACATCTGAAGGCAGCCCTGCTCAGTGAAGTTTTAAATGGCTGATGTTTTACTGGTGCAACCCAATCAGATGGGTGGCGCATTAATAATAATAATAATAATAATAATAATAATAGAGTACAGATGGGTTGGTGTACTCTTTAATATACAACACTGGTATGTGGAATGCTTAACTATTTGAAATGTGCCTTACAAATAATAATTCATCTTCATCATCATCATAGAAAGCATACCAGATAAAGTTGCCAAGTTACTTTTTCTTCTATTGTACCATCTGGGAAAGATACTGTTGCATGGAAAACATGGTTAAGGCTGCAATTGTAATGGTTATAAACTCTTTTTGATAGCAGCACGGTTGTGATTTGATTCAAGCAATCTTTTCCACGTGTGCCTCCTCTCCCTGCAGATTTTGCCCTGTGCATTTTCATGAGGAGATAATTTATGAGGTGGAGACAGGGAAAACAGCGAAGGAAAGAGTGTTTGGCACACTTCAAAGAAATAGTATTACTGTTCAGCCCTAATGGAATTCCGGAGATGTCACAAAGGTGAAATAAACTGTCATCACTGGATAAGCTATGGAACTTTCTTTTCTAGGCCACATGTTAGGATCTTCAAGGAAATTGAACTGTTCTTGTCTGGGAGCCACACTGCTTTCTAAAGGCCGACAAGATATACTTAACAACACTGTCTAAAGGGCTTACAGTTTGACCTAGAGTTGATTATATATTTTTTATCAGCTCAGTCACTCAGAGGAAGTTCTTATTTGTAACATACTTTCCAGTGTTGATATATTGTCAAAAATACCTACAAATAAAAATCTTTTATTACTCTATGAAATGAGAGCAAGCAGCAAATGAATTAGATTGAATCTAACCTTTATTCTTTGTCTTAATCTAATTTTGCAAATATGACCAGTAGCTCAATACTAGCGACCTGTCATCTTCAACTGTGCTAATAACACAATGTCGGATTACCTTCTAACAAGTATCCAAAATGGAACATTTAAATATATTTTATTATCCTATGTATCCCAACATATCCAGAACAGTGGACCAAACAGAGAATTTGTACTAGAATTTCCGAGAACCGAGTGTTTCGGCCAAGCATGTCCAGCTCAAAGCACCCTATTTCTCCTGGACCGGGTGCTTTGAACGTGTTGTGCCATGGGAGTATGTACAACCAGCAGGGCTGGCCCACCCTTGAGGCAAGGTGAGGTGACTGCCTCAGGTGGCAGGATTCACTGGGGCAGAAGATCCCAATGTCAATTCAGTCCCCCCCAGTTCCTGATGTAGATCTTCTCTCAACCCTTCTTCCCTGGAACTGAGGGAAGGCACCATTTGGGGGTCTGCCTCAGGTGCAAAATTGTCTTGGGCTGGCCCTGACAACCACAATGACCTTGGAATAATGTGCACATCTGCTTGGCTAGGTGGTGGCTTCTCAAAATCTGAGGCCTGCTGGCATTCAGTTGTTTGCACTGGCACTTGGGGGCGGGGGAATCAATGCAAAACAGTCCAGCAACATGTAGATTGCCTCATGGGTTGTTTGTTCACCCCTTGTACTTTCCATCTACTCGTACTTGAAGGAGTGTCTCCACCTCCATCGTTCTGCCCAGACACTGAGGTCCAGCGCAGAGGGCCTTCTGGCGGTTCCCTCACTACGAGAAGCCAAGTTACAGGGAACCAGGCAGAGGGCCTTCTCGGTAGTGGCACCCGCCCTGTGGAATGCCCTCCCACCAGATGTAGAAGAGAAAAATAACTACCAAACTTTTAGAAGACATCTGAAGGCAGCCCTGTTTAGGGAAGCTTTTAATGTTTAATAGGTTATTGTATTTTAGTGTTCTGTTGAAAGCCGCCCAGAGTGGCTGAGGAAGCCCAGACATATGGGCGGGGTATAAATAATAAATTATTATCATTATTATTATTATCATCATCATCTGATGTTCACCCTTAAGAGCTCACACGCTCCTGAAAGGTTTCAGGCAGGAAACAGTCACTTAAAGTATTATTCACAAAGGCAAAAATATGAAATAAAATAAATAAATAAATCCCCTAACACTCTCATCCAAATCCGTGGTTGCTGAAAAATATGGAGGAGGGCTTGCATGTTGCACACTGCCCCCCTTGTGTGTGAAGAAAACAAACTAAGCAATTCCCTACAGAAGTAATTTTGAAGGAACAGGATACCCAAATCCTGTCTGAAATCACCCCAGGCTTCGATCTGGGGTGGCGCCTCCGGAAAATGGCGGAATTCCCTTCGGACTGAAGGGAACCCGCTGCACGGAGGCTTGGGTCCTGCCGCTACGGCGCAGCGGGGACCCTCAAAAACCACAGGCGGAAGAAGCCTGTGGACGTGGGACTCGGCGGGCACCGAGAGCGCTCTCTCCCTGGTACAGGAGCCCGGTAACGGGCTCCGGAGTGGGAGGTGCGTGGTGCTGTGAGTCGACTGCTTCCTCCGTGCAGCAAAGCCGCACTGCCGTTATCGGAGAGCGCTGCCTTTTTCCTGGACAATTTGGCATCTAAAATATCTATCCGTGAGTACCTGATCTTGGAAGAGTTGAATCACTTTTAGGACTGGTGAATAAACAAATATTATTGGACTTGAAATTGAACTTAATTGGGACTCGGAACGAGAAGGTCTAAACAGGAAGTCGCCTTCCGTTCTTTTGTTACGTGAAGAAAGCAAAGACAAAATATACTAAAGCTTGAAAATTAAATTCTAAGAGAACTAGAATTCAACATCTAAGATTTCTGAACCCCCTTTGACTGCAGGAGAAGAAGGGGGTTGTATTTGGACTTTTCAATCCTGCGGAAGTGAGTTTAAAATAAAGCAATTTTCCACCGCCCTGAACCAGGAGCGGGCTGTCAGAATTGACGTTTTGAAGTTTATCCAGCTCGACAGTTAGTTAAAAGAAGGGTAACATTTTGATTCTACTGTTGCCTCTTGAATTTGGAAGGGGGAATTTTGGATAAAGTGTTTCTGGAAAAAGAAAGATTATTGCTGTTGCTTTTATTCCTTTTAAAAAAAAATAATTTTCCATCTAGTGGAATTTAGTGAAATTGCAACGCAGAGAGATTAAAAGAGAAGGACTATTGGACTATTGTCGTGGGAAAAAATTTTCTTCGACCTTGAAGGACAATGCTAGTACAAAGGCTTGAACAATTGTTCCTGGAAGGTTTTTCAAAACTAAGTGCCCAGCTGGACCAGATGCGTCAGGAGACGACCTTGATGATGGAAGTTACCAGAGCACAGCAGCAAACAAATGAAATTCAGTTAAAGGCTATACAAGCATATGAACCTGCTGTAGTGACGGAGGCTTCAGAGATGGAGGGACCTTTGGACGGGCAAGATCAGCCTTTGAACTTGATAAATGAACTTGGGACAAACCAGATTCGGAAAGATGAAATGTGGTCAGATTTGGAATCCATATGGTTATTTGGACCTTCCGAGTCTAGTGATGGGCTATCAGAGGATTGGAGTAGCCGAAGTCTCCAAGCTTTGTGGAAATTTGAAGTGGTATTATTTGCTGTCTGGCTTGGGCAATGGGTTTGGGATGGACTTGCCGCAAAGGGTTAAAAGCATTTTCTTGCTGGAGCATCCACGACTGGAAAGGAATCATCAACAAGAGTGGCGAAAGGGGCAAGAAAGAGACTTGAGGGCCTCGGATACGAGACAACCAGGTTAAGGAGCCGGATTATCGAGGTTAAAAGGACTGACAATCCCGGGTCCAGGGGAGGGGAGGTTGGAAGCTGACTGGACTGAATTTGACTTACTATTTTTTCCTTTTTATTTTTTAATATTGGGAATGCTTATAAATGTTTGAAGGATGTTGAATGAAATTACATGGCTTAAGTAAGGATTGGTAAATGATTCGTAAAAAGGTAATGATGTAAGAATTTGGTAAATATTGAATATAAGCTATGAGTCTTAAAGTTTTTTATATGACAAGAGGGAAAATAGAATAAGGAAATGTAATGACAGATTGTTATGAAAAAACAGAAAGGATTTGCTGTAAAAATTAAAAATTAAGAAACAAGAGAGGGGAGGAGGAGGAAGTCTAGAAAGGAAGTCAATAGAGATTGTAAAGGACTTTATATTTTTGTTTTTCTGTTTTTCTTTTTTTTTTCTTTGCGGCTGGGTTTTCTTTTCTTTTTTGTTTATGTACTATTTTTGTTTTTTGTATCCTCAAATTTTTTTTGGAAATTTTTGTTGTTATTCTTTGAAAATTTAATAAATATCAATTATAAAAAAAAAAAATATGAAATCACCCCAGGCTTCAATAATCACCCCAGGCCTCAAAACTGTCCAAAATTCCTTTTGTCTTCTAAAAAATCCAAAACAGCTTTTCTCTGCTTGTCTCTGCTTTTCTCACAAGATGCTGTGCATAGGCAAAATGTTACTTTAAAAGCTAATGAATAGGCTCTGTCATTGCCAAGAATACTCGGGCCTGAGAAACGAATCTTATCTCATTCTAGTTGCAACACATCTGAACAAGCTGAACGCAAGGCTTCTCACCCCCCCCTTTCCTGGGAAGAGTCCAATAGTCCCAAGACAGCTTTCTGTTCATGCTCAGAGGAACTCATGGGCAGGACTCTGGAAGAAGGAGGAGAAAGGGGGAGGGAACTGGAATGGGTATATATGCTCTGTGCACATGACTGTGAACTCGTGCATGCTTTTTGTGAGTTATCACACTTGCTCCTTCTACCAGTTCATGGATGGTAGAAATAAAGCTTTTTCTCTGAAACTATTCCTTGAGTGTCTGTTGACTCCCACTTCCCTTTCCCGGGCGCAATATTTTTCCCACCCGAGGGCAAAGCCTCATAAGGCTACAATTTTAGTTCTAGAAAGTTGAAGAGGCAACCTACCATGTTTGAAAATAGTTTTTTCTTTTCTTTTCTAGGAAGGGGTGCATCCTTGTTATTTGGGAATATGAATACATGCACAGCCACCTTTGTGGTGGTGATAGGCTTGGCTTCATCTTTGATAAAATGAGAGGGAGGAATTGTGCATAGTAATATGATCAATAAAACAATACACACAAAAAAGACCTTGTCCCCAAAACTTTACAATTAAGATACTTTAAAACAGTGGCACATGGGGTTTTTTTTTGGGGGGGTACTCAAGGGTAAAAAGAGGTAAAGGTAAAGGACCGCTGGACTGTTAAGTCCAGTCAAAGGTGATTATGGGGTTGTGGTGCTCATCTCGCTTTCAGGCCGAGGGAGCTGGTGTTTTTCCACAGACAGCTTTCCGTGTCATGTGGCCAGCATGACTAAACCGCTTCTGGCACAACAGAACATCGTGATGGTAACCAGAGCACACGGAAACACCATTTACCTTCCCAGCACTGCGGTACCTATTTATCTACTTGCACTGGCGTGCTTTCGAACTGCTGGAGCTGGGACAGAGCAACAGGGGCTCACCCCATTGTGGGGATTTGAACCGCCGACCTTCTGATCGGCAAACCCAAGATGCTCAGAGATTTAGACTAGAGCGCCACCC